AGGAGGAGGAGCTCGAAGTAGAGCTGCTGCTCCTCCCCATCAAAAGGAGTCAGATGAGGAGGTTATGATCTGGATGCCTTCCGTTGAGCTTTTTTTTTTTGGCATGTCTCATTGGGGAAATGATCRGGGGCAGATCCAGAACTTGCTGGAGGTATTGTGTACCTTCTCTGGCCAGGGAACACCTCAGGGTCTCTCAGGAGGAGKTGGAGAGTGTCTCTGGGGAAAGGGAGGTCAGATTTTGTCTCCTGGACCCGTTGCCTCAGTGACTCAGTTATGGATAAGATGGAGATGGCGAGAGAGGCTAATAATTCAAGATTCACTGATTCATTTGGAGAAATAGTCTTTGGTTTGACCAAATTGATGAGTTACGGACTAATCTGAGGAGAGAAGGACTAATGTGGATAAAACTATTCAAAGTTCAAAACATCATAGTGGTTCATGAGAAAAACTATTTTTTAAACCTTTACCCCAATCTTTCCTTTTCATTAGTTTTCATGCTATGYTATCCCACTAAAGGAAAGGCTCTATGCCCCACCCAACCTGATATTTGTGCTTGTATAAAAAGTAACAACATTTTGAAGTTAATTCAGTTTTAATCTAGAATGAAAAAAGAAAATTCCGTCAGAGCTGTGATGATTTATCAGCATCATTGTGTAAAGCTCTGCACATGTAGTTCAGTGTCTCCCCAATGTTTGCACAGAGACGAAGGTCTTATTAAGACTTTCCAGGTCAGGGGTCTCACTAACACCTCGGTCTGCTCCTTCACAATAATCCCACATTATTCATGTGACTCTCAGTAACACYTATTACTGATGTAAATCCAGAGAGGTGGAGGTTTGATGTGTCACCTCGGTGCATGACAGAACATCCTCACAACTTTCCCTCCACTAACATCATCAAGCTGCCTTCTTCATCCCATTATCTCCTCTTCCCACCTGTCAGGTGTGACGTCCCACCAACCAACACACGGAGCTGTACTGACCCACCTTCAGAGTCTGACTCCACCGTAGGACAGGATTATCATTCTGATATAATCCAAAATGGTCTGAATAACTTGTGTTTTTAGTCTTATTGAAAGTCCATTGTGTCACTATAAACTACAGTTGTCCCAATGTGAGTACTTGTACTCASAAAATTTATTCTAAAATGTTACAACAGTATACATCATGCTGTGTATTTGATCCAATTGGAGGGGCTTGTAGGTCTGACAGGAAGTAGAGACACCTTGTTTAAAAACAAAATGTTTTTTTAAGTCATTGTGTAATGTACAGTAAGTACTRTGTACCAGTGAGTAACCAAACTGAAATACTCATACTTGGTTTGAGGAAAAACTGGTAASAGGAACACTGATGATCTTTTCCTGCAACATTTGCTTTAGTACCAACAGTTCAATAAACTAATAAAAAACATTTTGTCCATTGAATATTTGGTGTAATATTGAGATCCTTTTGCTCTATTCGTGGTAATATTATTGTTATTTCTAATGTAATGAAGGATACAAAGGTCTGCTGAAGTTGAGAAAGTGACATTTGCAACACAAGTTGAAAAACGTAATTGGGGTCACAGGTCAGGCAGGGGACTATGACATCATTGTTCAGGCTGTACACGTGAGAACTCTACGGTTGTGTTTAACATGGTTTTGGGCTCCTAAACTGCTGTTTCTGTGAGGACACAATGCTGAAACAAAAAAAAAAAACAACTTTTACATCTTCACAGAACCCTTATTTGGTTTGAGAGCATAACTATCTAAACCTGTTTGGTGAGTACTGAGAAGGTAACATTAAGAATGCGTTCGGTCTGAAGAAGGTTGTTTAAAACAGCCACAGTTCAGCCTTCAGGTAGAAGGATRGGGAAGAAAGAGCAGGAAGAAACATGAGAGATGAAAAGGTTTTTGGTGAGGTGAAGACAAACTGGGTTTGACTGAGCTCATGAAACAAACAACATGAGAAAACCTGTTGAAGGTATACAGTATATTATTATTTTAAATATGTCAGGTTCAGGTGTAGGAGTGAAAACATCTCTCAATCTCACCTGACTTGCTCCAGTGTATCTGCTGGCAGTTATTTYCACCTTCAGCTCCATGCTGTTTCTTCAGTTGTTTAAAATATGCTGTCACATGACTAACATGTTAACATGTTCCAATCACAGAAATGTAATGTTAGCTAGCTGAACACCTGACAACCTGTTTGTGGAGCTATTTTAAAACCTACAGAGTTCAGTGGATACTTCAACATAAAATCTCTTCTATCTTCCAGAAAATGCTGAGAAGCATCATTATTGTGTACACCAGCAGTCAGTGTTGTTTAGACACAACTGTCCATCAGCCTGTTTCTGTCTGCTCAACATCAATTCAAATGTTTTCATCCTTTTTAGGTTTCTTATCCACCAAAGCTCTAAAATATTACCTTCACATTGTCAGGATGGAGCCCCCCGGGATGTTTGTCCATGTACTGACACAGGTCTGTGTGCTGGAAGACATAAAGAAGAGCAGCTGGGTTCAGATAATTGTTCAAACATTTTATCATTATGTGTATTTGAACAAAAGCAGAAAAGAACAGAGAGGGTTAAAGCGAGGTTTCACTGAGCTTTAATTACTGGAGACAAAGCAGATGTTTTTAGTTTTCTGCTGTCAGTCTGACTTGTTCTCTGAATTTGAATTTTTTCTAACATTTCTGCAACCATCATTCTCTCAAACTYGCCAGATTTATTTTGGTCTCAAACCTTTCTCACTTTGGTCTCCGTAGTTCAGCTACAGCAGGGGTGTCCAAACATTTTGTCACATGGGCCAAAATCATAAAGTCAGAAGGACTTGAGGGCCAAAAATATTTTTCATTTACCTGCTCAGCAATAAACCAAGCATTGAATGCTTTAAACAAATAACGTAGTCAGATTTATTGCTGGAAATGGATGTGTAAATGAATCTAGATCCAGAACTGTAAAAGTGTTTTGCAGGTTTCCCTTATTGAAATAAATTTTGCAGATTTCTAGGTTTCAACTGGGGAATAAAAACCCAGTTTAGTCAATTCTGATCAATAAAATCAGGATTTAGGTCGCTCTTTCGTTGAAAAGACAAATTTAATAAATTAACTAAAAGTGAATTGGAGGGCAGCAAAATAAGCTTTTGAGTAGAAATCACTAGATAGATGTGGAAAATGCGAAGAGCCTGGTTATTTAAAGACACATAATTGGCATTGTTGCCAGTGTTTTTTATTGGAAGATTTTACTTT